CTGCGGCCTCCAGGGTGCTGGTGTCCCTGGACTCCGCCCGCTTCCCTCAGGTGCGAGGCCTGAGGAGGGGATTCTTCCCCAGAGACGACAGGGACACAGGAACCACCAGACTGGCCAAGTGTGCATTGAAGGCGCGCGCACACACATACACACACTCACATACACATATATACACATTCACACACACATGCACACACGTATATGCACACACTCAACACATATATACTCTCACATACACACAAATATGTACACATACACTCACATATACACAGGCATACACACATACACAATCACACATATATACATACACACACACACATACACACAGTCACACATATATACACACACTCACGTGTACACATTCATACACTCAACACATGCAAAAATATACACACATACACACACGCATACACACTCACATATATACATACACACACATACACATTCACACACATACACACACTCACACACATATATACACACATACACACGCATGCACACATATACACACATACACACACTCAACACATATGTACACACACATACACACATATATACTCATTTACACACACATACACACATATATACATTCATACACACATATATACACATACTCATATATACACACACTCATACATATATATACACACAGTCACATATACACACACACACACACACACACGCATACTCAACACACATACACACATAACACACTCATACACATATATACACGCATTCACACACACAACGAAATAACCCCTCTTGAGCGGTGTGAAGCTGCTTTTGTATCAATGTGTTGCAGTCATTAGTATTTGATGTTGCTATCAAAGACAGAGGTTTAATGTTAGCGGACGGTTAATGTGTTTAGCAAGGGTTTACAAGGCTGGTTAATGATGCCTTACAAGGGTTAATAAATTAACTTTTCTAAGGGCTGGCCCCGGGAAGCCTCTTTAATGGAGGCAGAAATTAGGATGCCTCCATCTAGCCTTGTGTCTTTTACGTAGTACTGTCTCCGGCCTTTTGGGTGTGAAGACTGTTGCCTCCCAGTTACCTTATGAAATACCCTTTAGGAGATGGAAATTAGGCATTAAGGGGCCCATATCCCCAACCAGAAGAAAAGTAAGATTGTATTTGCAAAGTTCAGGTGTTGTAGGCAGGCCACAGGACAGTTGTCCCTATGTGGAACAGTTCTCCAAGGAGTGCAGAGTGTTGGACTACATTGGTTAAAGTCACTTACCCAGGAGCCCAGCGTACAGTCATCCCTGTAGTCCAGCCATTCTGGGTGAGGAGGCAGGCCTGCCTGGCCGACAACTGAGTTCAACACTAAATGAGGCAAATAGTGACACCCTGTCTCCAAAAGTGAAAACACTGGGCTTAAGAGGGTTCGTTGTACAGCACACCCAATGTGTAGACCAGGCTGACCTCAGACTCACACCAGCATCCCAAGCTCAAGGATTAAAGGTATGCATCACCACTGCCTGGCTGTCCAATCCCAGTCTGGAAAGATGTATCCCAGCTAGCAAAACAAGTTCTGTTGCCACAATTCAGAGAGGATACTCTGACTCGGCAGAGACCATTTTCCTAAAACCATGCAACTGGGTGCTGAGCAGAGGAATTGCTTCGCTGTGCAGATGGGATGGGGAAAGTGGAATGATTTAAGTGACTTCAGCTGAGCTTTTATAAGACAGGGTTTCAGGAAGCCCAGTCTGACCTCAAACGCTGATCTTCCTGGTCTCCCTCCCAACTGCTGGGATTTCAGATGTGCACATTCCCCACTGTTCTCATGACTGCATGTTGTGACTTGTACCAGTCCAGTGAACCAGACACTACCATCTTCGTGAAGGCCCTTGTCACCTGTGGCTTCCCTGAGTTACTGCAGCAGCCTCTCCTTGGTCCACTCTGCATGTTGCCCCCCCACACTTCCAGCTTGTCTCTGGCCATCCCCTGCCTTTTCTCCGAGGCCTCCTGGAGCTTTCCCCACCAGCATGCATTGTTCTCATTAACCCCAAAGTCCTGCTCCCCTCAGCTCAGTCCAGTGCTTCAAACCCATCTCTGACTCTTCTTCCTCACAAACTATCTCTTGATGACTTCACCTGTGTCTCAGATCCTGCTTGGCACATGCAGCCAGTGGTTAGCATGCCACTGCCATGTGGAGTATTATGAGAAGTTTATTTTGGCCAGCATTGGCTGAACCAAACCCTCTGAATGTGGGTGCCAGTTAGGAGGCCTGGGCAGTCTACGGGACCTCTAACAGTGGAGCCAGTATTTATCCCTAGTGCACAAATCAACTTTGGGAGCCCATTCCCTATGGAGGGATACTATTGCAGCCCAGATACACGGAGGAGGGACTAGGCCCTCCCCCAAATGATGTGACAGACTTTGATGATTCCCCCATGGAAGGCCTCACTGTCCTTGAGTAGAGCTGGTAGGGGGCATGGGAGGGAGAGGGAATGGGGGATTGATATGTAAAATGATTGTTTCTAAATTAAAAAAGAAAAATATCCAAAAAAAAAGCAACTCCAACATTGCCAGGAATGGGTAAGGAAAGGGAAGGGACCAACAGTAAGGTTTGAGACGTAGGTGCTTTTGAATAATGGCACTATATATAGAAATGGAGGAAGTCAGTAAGGAGAAGTGATGGGCTCTCAGGCTTATTTGTGTATCAAAGTAACACAATTATAGACTTGCTTTTGTGCCGGTTTCTTCCTCATGCTCACACCAAGCACAGCTTCCTCAAGGGCCTGCCTGTGTTTAGTACTTCACCTGTAGCTCCTCCAGTGTCTTATTTTTGAGACATCCAAGAGCTTGAAGCATCTCTGACAACTGCAATGGTTGTAGCAGTTTGTTTTGCATGGGTGCCTGAGAGACAGGGCAACTGTGCCCATTTCTCCTTTGATTCAAGATGCAGTCGCACAGGGTGACCTTGCTCCCTTCCTCTGCTCTTGGGTCTGCTGAGTTCTAGTCATTATTGTGTGCAGCGTGGCATCCTTGGAGAGGCCAAACCTCACGGATTTTGAATAGTCAGGACTGCTTGTTTTCATGTCTTGTCATCTGACGTCCTGTAGGATTTAGTCAGTGGTGGTTGAACTGAGAAGGGAGAGCAGGAAATCTGGAGGGATGGAAGGAACAGAGAATGAGGCTTTTACCAGACACCTAAAATAGACAAACCGTGAGTCAGAGGAGGGTTCCAGGCCAGGTTTGCCAGGGAGAACTCCATTGATGCCTCTGCTAGATGAGGGGAACGTCGAGTGGACACAGTGGTGAGGACTTGGAGAGCTGGGGTCACCTAGTACCACCCTCAGTAGTTTTCCAGTTGCTGAGGGCGCCAGGTGTGCCTACTGAGCTGCCAACACTGGGAAGTGGTCCTGTGTCTGCTCAGAACATTGTGTGCCATGTGCAGGCAGTGTTTCCTACCCTCTGTGAAAAGGAGGCAGCGGTGCTGTTAGAAGCGGAACAAGCTTGGGAAGAGTTTCCTTTGTAGACTGTTGTTTTGTAGGAAGAGTCCTTATGTTACTGATTGCAGGGTGGTTTTCCCGTTGTCTACAGTGCAGGTTTTGTGTCTCTTACAGAAGAAGCATTGGGCATGGGTCTGGCTTCTTGGTGTCTCATTTTGAGTCCTGTAGCTTCTTGGTTTCATGTGAAAACTTGGAAGTATCCCAAATGATAGGGATTAGCGTAGCAAAGCCACACTGACACCTGAGAAGAGTCACGCCTGGGCCAGGAGACTTTGGTGATAACTAGTGTTGTCTGGTGATTGGTGTAGGATCACCAACCATTTGTTTTTGTTTTATTTTTATTTTATGTGCATTGGTGTTTTGCCTGCATTTATGTCTGTGTGAGGGTGTCAGATCTTGGATTACAGGCAGTTGTGAGCTGCCATGTGGGTGCTGGGTATTGAACTTGGGTCCTCTGAAAGTGCTCTTAATCTCTGAGCCATTTCTCCAGCTCCCACCAACCATTTCTTATCAAATGGACACTGCTGCATAAAATAACCCTTCTTTGTGCTTGCTGTTTGGAAGGTCTTGCCAATTATCTTTCATATTTGGACCAGCTACCTTGTTGGTGGCACATATCTGTAATCCCAGCACTTAAAGCAGAGGCAGGGGTCAAGATCATGCTTGACTACATGGGAGCTGGAGCCTATGAGACTCTGTCTCACAACAAATAAAAAGTCCCAGCCATGTGTTGTTTTCCTCTCATAAACTTATAAACGGTATGTAACTAGGGGTTGAAGCTAGGACCTCCCATATGCTAGGCAGGCCTCTACCACTTGGTTGCTCTCAACTGTTACTTTTTACTTTGAGATAAGTGTACTTGGAATTCTTCACCTTCCCAAATCCAATGTTGAGATTGCAGGCTATTTTAGTGACTTCTATTGCCCTGGCTAAGACACCATGACCAAGGCAACTTGTAGAAAACAATGTTTAACTGAGACTTCCAGTTTCAGAGGGTGAGTCTGACCGTCATGGTGGGAGCATGGCAACAGGAAGGCGGGCAGGGGTGGTGCTGGAGCAGTGGCTGGGAGTTTGTATCTTGAGATTTAACTATGAGGCAAACTTCAAAGCCTGCCCACAGTAACACACCTCCTGCAAGAAGGCTGCCACACAGGCCTATGCCGTAAGGCCTCTCTTTGTAAATACAAACTTAAGCCAGGAGAGTCTTCCTGCCGAAGCCAGACCAGAAACGCTGTCAGGCAGCTCCAGCCCCAGTCTAGGAAGACCTCTGCTCAGATGCCCTGTTGTCGGAGGAAGGATGGGTTCTTAGGATTCAGTCCCCCACCTTACTGGTGATCTGTCGGTGGGGGACTACAGAATCCCTTTGTAACCTAAGCTGCCAGGAATGCCTGCTTCTGTTGAGATTGTAGACATCCACTGCCATGACCATGTTGGTGTTGGTCATTGAACCAAGAGCCTTGTTAGACAAGACCTCTACTACTGAGCTATTTCCCCAGCCCTTTCTTTTTTCATGACAGGGCTTCTCTGTGTAGCCCTGGCTGCCCTGAAACTCACTCTGTAGACCAGGCTGGCCACAAACTCACAAAGATCCACCTGCCTCTTTCTCCTGAGTGCTGGGATTAAAGCCATGCACCACCACACCCAGCATTTTTTTTTAAAAATTGTGAAACATTTGGTTGATAAAAGCCAGATCATACTGGTATTGTTTAAAAACAAAAAATATGGGTTACTGAATAAAATTTGTAGTGATCTAATAAAAAAGGAAAATGTGAAACAAGCTGGGTGGTGGTGCACACCTTTGATGCTAGCACTTGGGAGGCAGAGGCAGGCGGATCTCTATGAGTTCGAGGCCAGCCTGGTCTACAAAGTGAGTTCTAGGACAAGCGCCAAAGCTACAGAGAAACCCTGTCTCAAAAAATGAAAAAACAAAACAAAACAAAAAACCCACAGCTTGGTGTGGTGATGCGTGCCTACAATTTTAGTATTTGAGATGTTGAGGTAGGAGGATCATTGTGAGTTCAAGAGCAGCCTGGACTACAGAATGAGAATCTTAAAAGGGATGGTGGTGATGACTCACTCAGTAAAAGTGCTTGCTGCTAAGCCTGAGTTTGATTTTCAGATGATAAAAAGAGAGTACTAATTCCTGTACTTGTCCACTGATTTCCATTCACAGTATTTGAGCCCCACCTCCACCCTTCAAATAAATAATTGTAAAAAAGAAAGCAGCCGTATTTAGAACCACATCTAGAAACTTGTGAGGTTAGCCCATGTACGGTGGAAGGTCTGTCACTGCAGAGGATTGAGGCTGTTTGAGAAGATGTGTGGCTCTGGCTTTCTCTTGCCTGAGCCTGAAGCCCTGAACATAAATAGCAGAATTCAGATGTGCATCAGATCCTGTTCACCAGATGCCTGAGCCATCTTCCTTTAGCAGGGTGCCAAAGGAGCAGGGAAGGAGGCCAAAGCAAGTGTTGGTGGGCTTTGCATTCAGTGCTGGAGAAGTTTTGTAACCCTCAATCAGGTGCTGAACTCTGTGCAGGGGAAGACCGCACAGGATCAGTAGGTGTTTGATTAGCGCCAGATATATTTGTAGAGGGTCCTGTGCAACTTCAGAAACCCTCAAAGCATTAGAAAAGGTTAGGTTATTTAGTTTTGACCTAGCTGAGCCTGTCTTCAGCCTCTCAGGAGACACTTGTTGCCCCTGCTGAGCACTTGGCTCTGTTTATTAGCAGTAGGTGTGTAGTGAGATGTATGTTTCATGAGGGTGTCAGAGAGAACTCCGATGGTTCATGTTTGTGTTTGTCCTTTGGATTCTGATCTTCTCTTAAGCTCCATGATGCTTTCTCAGTTCTTCTTCTGCTGCTGCTGCTGCTGCTGCTTCTTCTTCTTCTTCTTCTTCTTCTTCTTCTTCTTCTTCTTCTCTTTGTTATGTTTGCGGGGCAGGGTTTCTCTGTGCGTAGCTCTGACTGTTCTGGAACTCACTTTGTAGACCAGGCTGGCCTCAACTCAGAAATCTGCCTGCCGGGCTGGGAAGATGGCTCAGAGGTTAAGAGCACTGGCTGCTCTTCCAGAGGTCCTGAGTTCAATTCCCAGCAACCACATGGTGGCTCACAACCATCTGTGATGAGATCTGGTGCCCTCTTCTGGTGTGCAGATATACATGGAAGCAGAATGTTGTATATATAATAAATAAATAAAATCTTTTAAAAAAAGAAAAAATGTTTAAAAACAAAAAGAAATCTGCCTGCCTCTGCCTCCCCAGTGCTGGGATTAAAGTTAAAGGCATGCGCTACCATGCTTGGCTGCTTTCTCACTTTTTTATTTCAACTTCCAAAAATATTAGGCAGAAAGCAGGATTTACATTTGTTGTCTGGCTGAACGGTGGAGGTATCCTTATGACACAATTTTGGAAGCAAACTTACTGTGTATAAAAATTGTGAAGACAACCTTATGTTGTGAGTTGCTCTTCTAACTGTTTTCCTCTGTGTTGTATCCCAAGATAAAGCTACCAATCCTTCTAACCGCCAGGAAGACTGGGAATATATCATTGGCTTCTGTGATCAGATCAACAAAGAGCTTGAAGGGTGAGTCCAGTGAGAGAGAGGACCCATACCTGACCAAGGAGGGATGGGTGGCCCTCCATCTGCAGACTGACTGTCGTGTGTTTGTCTGCCAGGCCCCAGATTGCTGTCCGACTTCTGGCCCACAAGATCCAGTCTCCACAGGAATGGGAGGCGGTGCAAGCCCTCACGGTAGGTCTTTGCCATTGGAGATGAAAGCGGTGGATGTTCACTTGCTCAGGTCTTTCCTCACACACCCCTTAGGGCATCGGTGGTAATCAGGCTCATGCCCAAAGGTTGGGCATATCTAGAATCTGTCAGTCAGCTGGTCTACAAGTACTCATGCCTCTAGACCTGGCATGGAGGTTGCACAGGTGACTGGGGGGTCCCAGAGGCAGGACCTGCAGTCCAGTCCAGCACTCAGAGAGGACTTAGTAGTAGATCTGTAGTTCTTAGAGCTGTAGTCAGGCAGATCTCTGTGAGTTCAAGACCAGCCTGGTCTACAAAGCAGGTTCCAGACAACCCAGCACTGCATCAAGAAAGCCTGTATCAATGACAAAAGTCAGCCAGCCAAAAATAAGCCTGGTAGACAGGGTTTGTGGCATAGCTACAGATGCTGCTGCCTGTGATAGTGTTGACAGCCATAGCTGCAAGGGCGGAGTTGAGTGTTTGTTTCGTAAGCTTCCTTGCTCCCTAGACAACAGCCAGGCTTAGAGGGCTCTGGGATCCTTTCTGACCCTGACTTCATTTGGGTCCTGGAGACGCAGAAGACCAACGGTGTAGACACTCTTTCCCTGTGGAGCCAAGACCTTTACAGTGGTGATTTTTTTGGGGGTGGGGGGGATGTGGGGCTGGTTTTTAAGACAGGGTTTCTTTGTGTAACAGCCTAGGCTGACCTGGAACTCCCTTTGGAGACCAGGCTGGTCTCAAACTCACAGAGATCCGCCTGCCTCTGCCTCCTTAGCGCTGGGATTAAAGGCGCGCGCCACCACTGCCCTGTCTCTATATATAATGGTGATTTTCAAGGACAATCAAGGTCTTTGGTTGATTTTTATTTATTTAATTTTGCTTTGTTTTTTGGCATGTCTCAATCCTTTTGTCTCTGTCTCTGACTCTAGAGCATTAGTACTACAGGCGTGTGCCACCATGCCTGCTTTCCAGGGAGACGGTTTCAGTCTGCAGAGGACGTTTGACAGTGTCTGGGGTGCTTTCATTGTTGGGGTAGTGTAGTAGCACTACTGGCATCTAGAGAGTGGGGGCCAGGGGTGCAGCTAAATACCCTGAAATGCATAGGACAACTCCAGAGCAGAGTGGTTAGTCTAAAATGTCAGCTATGCTACAATTGAGAAACCTTGCTTTAGAGAAACAAACCACTGTGAGCTAGGGAAGATGGCTCAGTGGTTAAGATCACTGGCTGATCTCCCAGAGGACCTGGGTTCAATTCTCAGCCCACACATCTATAACTTTCATCCAGTGCTCTCTGCTAGGCTTCTCTAGCACTGTACACATGTGCTGCGAAGACAAATAGGCAGACCGACACGTAAAATGAAATTCTTTCCCATGTATTTAATAAAGTGTCAGGTGGTGGTGATACACACCTTATTCCCAGCACTCGGGAGGCAGAGGCAAGTGGATCTCTGTGAGTTTGAGGCCAGCCTGCTCTATAGAGTGAGTTCCAGGACAGCCAGAGCTACACAGAGAAACCCTGTCTTGAAAAACAAAAAAAGAAAAAGAACCGTTGGGCATGTTATCAAATGCTTTTATTCCCAGCATTTGTTGTAGAACACTTAATCCTAGCACCCAATAGACAGAGGCAAGCAGATCTCAGTGAGTTCCAGACTAGCCTGCCTCAAAACAGAAAAGCAGAGAAGAAAACCAAGGAACTAAGGTGATAGCTCAGTTGGTAAAGTACTGTGCAAGCATGAGGACCTGAGTTCAATCCCTAGGACCTACATGAAAAGCCAGCTGTGATTCTGAGTAGTAAAGACCAGTCAGCCTAGACTAAGTGGTAGTCCCAGGCCAGTGAGACTTGATCCAAGGAAGGGTGCCTAAGGTTAACTTGGCATTCACACACATTCATCCATAACTGGACACTGCCATGTGCAAGCTGCATAAATGATGGGGCCCCAAGCAGAATACAACATGCAAAACAAAAGGGGGCAAGAGCATTGTCCCACCATCTAAACAGATGGTGGATTTAAACATCTCCTACTCCCATAAAACGGTCAATTTGTAGAAAGGACTATGGACCCTGAATAGCCAGAGGGACTTCTCCTTGGAACTTGGTTTTCCTCCTGAGGTTCCAAATCCCTATCTTTGTGGAAGGCCCCTTCTAGGTCTGACAGCAAACTGTCTTGGTCTCTGGGTCTCAGCATTTCCTATTCTAGCCCTGTGTAACATTCCCTGCAGAGCATGGCACTGGAAGGAAGGGTTTGTGGTGGGTGGTTCTGTGGCTCAGCCTCCATTCCCAAGGGAGAGTGCACCATTTCACACAGTGAATCCCTTCGCCTGGGATGGGGACCAAGGGGCTCAGGTGCCATAGCTCCCATCACAGACTGCCTCTCTGTGTGGCTGCAGGTGCTGGAGGCATGTATGAAGAACTGTGGGAGGAGATTTCACAATGAAGTGGGGAAGTTCCGATTCTTGAATGAATTAATCAAAGTCGTCTCTCCAAAGGTCAGTTGGTAGCAATTTCCTTTGTTCGAGAGCTGCTTGTATGTCCTTTTCCATCTCCCATCTTACTGGCTTTCCTGGTCACTTAATGTCTCCACAGAGATGATGCCGTGTTCTGTACTTGCAAGCCTGGTTCCTATAGGTACCAGTGACTGATCAGTCTGAGGTCTGAGCAGCCTCCAGATGGACTCCCAGCATAAATGTGGCTGTGTGTGTCCAGGGAGAGGGTAGATAGTTACAGTACTCTGTGCTCCTAGCCCACATCGAGTACACAGTTTTGCTTCTTAGCTCCACCAACCAGGGTCTGTTGGACAGCTCTAAACAGAGGGAACCATTTCTCATGTTGGTGGCGACCCCAGAAAGTCCTTCAAGAAAATGTGGTTATGGGGGCACTGGAGAGATGGCTAAGAGGTTCAGAGCACTGGCTGCTCTTCCAGAGGTCCTGTAGTAAGATAGGATGTCCTCTTCCAGTGTGCAGGAATACATGGCAGATAGCACTCGTATACATAAAATAAATAAATCTTAAAAAAAAAAGAAGGTGTTGTTACTGGGCTGCAGACATAGCTCAGTGGTTAAGTTAAGCACTTGCTACAGTCCCAGAAGACCCATGTTCAGTTCTCAGCATCCACATTTTTTTAAGTATTTTTATTATATATACAGTGTTCTGCCTGCACCCCAGAAGAGGGCACCAGATTTCCTAGATGGTTGTGAGCCACCGTGTGGTTGCTGGGAATTGAACTCAGGACCTCTGGAAGAGCAGTCAGTGCTCTTTTAACCTCTGAGCCATCTCTCCAGCTTCTGCATGGAAATACTGGGATAAGGTCTGGACCCGTTCTGGCTGCATGCTGTGCTGCTTGTGTGTCTGGTTCCATCACACACTGTAGAGTCTGCTGGGTTTAAGTAGGCTTGTGAACCAGAATGACGGGAACACGATGTAAGGAAAGTGATTCCTCCTCGGCGTCTCAATTATTAGACTCTCACTTCATTTTACTCCTAGTACTTGGGAGACAGGGTGTCTGAAAAGGTGAAGACTAAGGTCATCGAGTTGCTTTTTAGCTGGACACTGGCCTTGCCGGAAGAAGCAAAGATCAAAGATGCCTACCAAATGTTGAAGAGACAAGGTATGTGTTTACTTCTCCATTAGCCTCAGGGTGGCACTGAGTGCTGGTCAAGACAAAGAAGCCAGAGGAATGTTGGGGGTGCCAGGTTCCTTCCCTTCTCTTCCTGTAGAGGGGATTGGTCAGGAGGGCTCAGCTGGCATTTAGGTTGAGATGAGAGTAGCCTGCTCTTTTTCTGCTTATCATAGAGATCTGGCCCATGGTGTGTGAAGGACAAGGTAGCCATTGCCTGAGCATGTGCTCTGCCATTTGTGTCTCTGCAGGCATAGTGCACTCGGATCCCCCCATCCCCATGGACAGAACACTGATCCCCTCTCCCCCACCTCGTCCCAAAAACCCTGTGTTTGATGATGAGGAGAAGTCCAAGGTAAAGTACATCTTGGACCTGGGGTTCTCTTAGATGGCTGGCGGCAGTAGCAGCGCGAATGTGTGTGTCAGTGGGTGGCATTTTTGGATTTGAAGTTTTGAGACAGTGTCTCACTGTAGCCTAGGCTGACCTTGAATGTGACATGTTTCTGCCTCATTCTCCTGAGGTAGTACTCTTTGCCTCAAGCCACCCTACTGAACATAAAATGCGATCTGGCTTGGCACTGCAGAGAGCCCCAGCTTCTCCCAGTCTACCCAGTGGGGCTGCCCACTGCTTCCTTTCCCTCACTTCAGATGCCTTCTCTTCCAGCTTTTAGCGAAGCTGCTGAAAAGCAAGAACCCGGATGATTTGCAAGAAGCCAACAAACTCATCAAGTCCATGGTGAAGGAAGTGAGTGGGCCCTGGTCCTCTGGGCATGGGGCACAGAAGCATGTGACCACAGAGCAGAAGTCCTTCCCCCAAGATCTTAGGCCTGTCTTGTTCACCCTGCACCAGCCCTGAACTGGAGTGAGTTTAGGAGGAGCCTTGTATTTTCTATGGGAGAAAGCAGTAGAGGAGTGGAGGGTATGAATAGCGGAAGTGGGGGGTGTCACTGTAAAAGAACAGCTCAGGGTTAGTCTGAGGCCTGTCGTCCTAGGAAACACGCTAAGCAGAGCTTTGAGGCTTGGCCTCTGCCCTTGTGCTATTGGGTAAGGAATGAGCCCTGCCTGGTGGTTGAAAGACATGCTAGGTGAACTTGCTTTTCCTGCACCCTCTTGGCTGAGGCAGGATGAGGCTCGAATCCAGAAGGTGACCAAGCGCCTCCACACGTTGGAGGAAGTTAACAACAATGTCAAGCTGCTCCATGAGATGCTTCTCCACTACAACCAGGAGTACTCGTCGGAGGCTGACAAAGAGCTCATGAAGGTGAGCTGCTGTGCACAGAGAGCTTGCGGCTCACATTGCTCTGCCCCAAGTGGGGTCCTGTCCTGCTGAGGACATGCTTACTGTTTGAGCTTGTTCATGGCAGCAGGGGGATGATGGACAGTGTCTTTAGTTGACACAGCTAACACTCCTGGTGCAAGGACTTTCCTGTGACTCCAGAGATAATGCCCTAGGTGCTCACTCGTACTCTCTGCCTTTAAGCCTTGGGAACCCGTGTGTGGGAGACTTTCCTGAGATCCTAATGTTGACATTATTGCACTTAGGCTGAGGCACATGTCTCATTACCACCTGAGTGACTTTGAGTAGTTAGACATGACTTGGGCAGCCTTCCTAGTGGGTACTGACAGCACAAAGGAGAACACTCTGCTCTGGTCCCAGCTTGCCAATGACTGGTCTGGAGGGGCTTCCCACATGGAGCTCATGACTTCTTAGGACTCTGAAGTTGAATATTATGTCTGGGTCTCTCTCAGGAGCTGTTTGATCGTTGTGAGAACAAGAGACGGACATTATTTAAACTAGCCAGTGAGACAGAAGACAATGACAACAGTTTGGGTGAGTATAAAGGAGTACTTGGCAAGGATGAGTCAAAAATGAGTCAAGAGTTTGGATATGTGTGAGAGTTGTCACAACCCACACAGTGAGAAGTCTCTTTTGCTCTAGGGGACATCCTGCAGGCCAGTGACAACCTCTCCAGGGTCATTAACTCTTACAAGACAATAGTCGAAGGGCAGACCATCAATGGTGAGGTGACCACCTCCACCATGCCTGACTCTGAAGGTACATATTATGGTTCCCCATTCTAGAACTCTCCAGAACAGCCCCAAATCCTGACCACTGAGCCACAAGTGCCAACTCTCAGGGCCTGAGGGAATTCCCAGCCTTTTCAAGTGGTCTTTTACTTCCCTGAGGCAGGAAGTATGCATGGAGATATCTCTGCCTGCCTTCTTGAACCTCATTTTCAGTTTCCCTAGAAGAAATGCTACTGATTTGGGCCAGAAGCTAAAGTCTTAGTGTCTGTGCCCGGGTCCCGCCTCCTACTACACAGGCACCAGATTCGCCCTGAATTTTCTTTTTCCTCTTGTGTCAACCCCTCCAGGAAATGACCACTGCAGTAGCCAAGGCACCCTCATCGACCTCGCTGAGTTGGACACCCCCTGCAGTTCATCCCCAGTGTTGGCCCCAGCACCTGCCCCACCCACTTCAGGCATCCCTATTCTCCCTCCACCCCCCCAGACCTCTGCACCTCCACGAAGCCGTTCATCCAGCCAGGCTGAGGTTCCCCAAGGGCCTGACAGCACGAGCAGTGGCCTCTCCTTGCTAGATGAGGAGCTGCTCTGCTTGGGTACGTGCATGGGTGGCATTGGCAGGAGGGCGTGTGCACCAGGCCTGAGGGGCCTCTAGGATGCTTTATCAGTCAAGTTCCAGAGGCCACTGTGGATTGCAGGTTGAACATGGTGCGCTCTGGTGCATCCCAGCTCCTCTCTTCCTGGGAGGCCCTGCAGTCTCCTGTAAAGGGTGGAAGTGGATTTTACTTGCCAATCTAACTGTAAGGGAATACGTTCTCCTTACCCATTCATCAAGTAATGTCTCTTGTCTTATCAAATGACATTCTTGGGGGAGTGGGGAGGCGGCTGCCTCACCCAGGGTCTCATTGAGTTCTTTTGTGTTCTTAGGCCTTACTGACCCAGCCCCTACTGCTTCTAAAGAGTCAGCTGGAAATAGTCAGTGGCATCTGTTCCAGGTAGAGGCACCTCAATGGCTACATCACTGAAGTGCTCAAGGACCAAAACTCACTTGTTACCTAGTCTGTGCCTGGCTGCACTTTGCTAGAGCCAGAGCTTCTTGTATTCTCTAGAGCTCTGTCCATTGTAGGTGGGACATGCTGCCTCTGAGAGTTGTTCCCCAGCATTTACTTCTGTGGGTCTGGATGGGGCACCTCAGAAGGTGGGCTCTGAACAGTTGGGTTGGTGCAGCCCCTCCTAGGCCTTTGCTCACTTGCTGTTTCTGTTGTACAGAGTGAACCCTCGTCAGATCTGGACTTCTTCAACCCCAGGCCAGTGTCTGCGGCCTGCGGCCCCTCAGATGGATCCCTGCTCCCTCCCCCAGTTTCTACCTCAAGTACGTCCCAAGCTCCGCTGCCTGCTCCCTTCCCAGCTCCTGTGGTCCCAGCTAGTGTACCAGCCCCCAGCACTGGTTCCTTCATGTTCTCTTCTGGACCTGCTCCAGCCTCGATTCCAAAGGCTGAGCCTGCAGCCCCAAAGTACCACAGCTCAGCACTGGGTGACAGCACCTCGAACCGCCTAGATGCCCTTGATCAGCTTCTGGAAGAGGCCAAAGTGTAATGGATGGGAGAAGAGGGGGGCTGAGGGTGGAGTGTCACATGCAGGTCGAAAGGGAGGCTCCAGAGGATGGGCATGGGGATGGATCTCTTTTGGTCCCATTAACAGGCTGGAAGCTGGTGGCCTGGGTTAGCTAGGGACTGGCCTTGGTTGAGGGGTTGCCCAGCAGTTCTAGCCTGCCCTCTGACTTGTCTTCTATTGTCCTTCTTTCCCCCTAGGACCTCAGGCTTGGTGAAACCTGTTTCTTGCTTCTCCACTGGGGCCACCGCCTCCCCACTGCTTCCTGCCTCTACCCCAGCCAGGCCTCTCCTGCCCTTCTCCAAGGGGCCTGGAAGCCCTCTCTTCCAGTCACCAGCCTTCCAATCCCAAGGCAGTCCGCTGAGGGCCCCAGAGCTCTCCCTGGCCAGTGTCCATGTGCCCCTGGAATCGATCAAGCCTAGTAAGTAAGTCTTGGAGACCGGCGGCAGGTCTCGTGTGTTGGTAGGTTTGTGCTCAGTGGTTCTTTCTATGCGGGGGTCACTTGTGGTTAAGGGTCTACTTGCCTGCTGTCTCAAAGTTTTTGTTTTGTTTTTTTAAGATTTTATTTATTATGTATACAGTCTTCTGTCTGCATGTGCCCTGCATGCCATCAGAGGGCACCAGATCTCATTCAAGGTGGTTGTGAGCCACCATGTGGTTGCTGGGAATTGAACTCAGGACCTCTGGAAGAGCAGTCAGTGCTCTTAACCTCTGAGCCATTTCTCCAGCCCCCATCTCAAAGATTTTTTTTAAAGGTAGTGTTTTTATTATGTGTGTGTGCCTCAGTATATGGATGTGCAAGTTCCCACAGGGGTCAGAGATGATGTCAGACCTCCTGAAACTGGAGTGACAGGCAGTTGTGAGCTGTCCAGTATGGGTGCTGGGAAACTAGACCCTCTGCAGACATCAAATGCTCTTAACCACTAAGCCATCTCTCTGAACTTTCGCAGTCCTTTTTTTTTTTTCCCCTTCGAGACAGGGTTTCTCTGTGTAGCCCTGGCAGTCCTGGGACTCTAGGACCAGGATGGCCTTGAACTCAGAACTGCCTGCCTCTGCCTCCCGACTGCTGGGATTAAAGGTGTGCAACTCTCCAGTACTCCGCAGGGCAGCACTGTTCAGCCACACTGGCTTTTCTCCATTCCTCTGTCCATTTCACTGAAGCACCGCTGGGCTCTGGAGTGCCTTTGGCTTTCTCCCATCATGCTCACTAATGTAACCCTCCTTGCAGGCAGCGCCCTTCCCGTGACAGCCTATGATAAGAATGGCTTTCGCATCCTTTTCCACTTTGCTAAGGAGTGTCCCCCAGGACGGCCCGACGTGCTGGTGGTGGTCGTGTCCATGCTGAACACGGCTCCTTTGCCAGTCAGGAGCATAGTGCTGCAGGCTGCAGTGCCCAAGGTACCCTTGCCTCCCTTATCTCGAACCTACTATGTTGACCACCTCTCAGTGGCCAGCAGTTGGTCTCTCTCAGACACTTGGACCGTTGTTTCAAAGGAATTTCTTTTTATCTTCAGTCAATGAAAGTGAAGTTGCAGCCACCCTCTGGGACAGAACTCTCGCCATTTAGTCCTATCCAGCCACCTGCAGCCATTACCCAGGTCATGCTGCTGGCTAACCCAATGAAGGTAAGCAAGGGAGAGTCCACAGCACCCACCTGGGGTTGGTCCCTCTGTCCCAGGTTGAGGGACTGAGCATGGGTGAACAAGGTGCACCCCTCCGGCAGAGCTGAGTGTCCTGCAGGGGGTCCTGGATACTTACCTGCAGCCCTCTCTTACAGGAGAAGGTGCGGCTTCGGTATAAGCTGACCTTTGCTCTCGGGGAGCAGCTGAGCACAGAACTGGGTGAGGTAGACCAGTTTCCTCCGGTGGAGCAGTGGGGGAACCTATGACCCCAGCAAGTGCTGCCATCTCTACTTAGAAGGCAGGCAACCTGAGACAGGCTCTGGCTAGTCCAGCAGTGCACACCCTGGACAGTGCTTATAGCTTGGCGTAGACCAGGGCCCTGGACATTTGTCAAGAGCCAAGCCGCTGCTGTGATCATCTCCTCTTGGGCCCCTAAAAGGACCTGTTTTATCTGCCTGTGTGACTTGAAGTGGCCGTACTGTGTGGGTGGGGAGTGGCCTGTGGCTTCACTGGCTGCCCTGGGATGGTGGACTCTGGGCCTAGAGTAGGTTTTCCCTTTTTTACTGGCATCCCTTGGTACCAGGGAGAGGGCTCTGAAGAGCGCCTTTCTAACCCTTCAAGAACTGCATCTCTGCACCCTGAAGAGGCATGGCATGGGACTGCCTCCCGTTGGTGTTCCATGCTGCTTGGCTGATAGCCACTGCTGGTACCTGAACCAAAGTGAGCAGCAGTGGCACAGAGGATCTGGAGTACTGTAGTCTTTACTCGTGTTTTCTGCAGGCAGCAGCACCACAAAGTGGCTGCCGAGTGAGTGAGTGAGGTGCTTGTCCTGGCAGTGGCAGGTTGTGTCCTATGGACATCTCAACGGGACAGGGAATACTGCCTTATAGCCTCACCTGGGGACAGGAAGGGTAATGGAAGCGTGCCGGGGTTCCCCTTCAGAAGCGGGCACCGTGGCTCTCCTGGAAAGCATACCTGCAGCAGTGGGAATGGGGACATCCTACTCACTACCTCTTGCTTGGCATGAAATAAACTGCTGTGCTCCCCTTAACCTTTTAAGGGAAGACAACCTCTTGCCACTCTGCACCCTCCTGCTTTGGTCACTCCCTTTCCCTGCCACATGATTGGACCCAGGAAGTCTCAGGGTCACACACATTGCACTAGACTTTGTCCTTTTGTGCTGCACCAAAACACCTGCTTTTCCCCAGCTAAAGGGCACTGTCAGCGATATGTCGGGTCTGGAAGTGATGAGATGAGGGGCTATGTTTGAACTGAATTCCCAGACCCTATTGCTTCAACGGTGTTCTGCCTTCCCTCAGCTAGCATGACCCAGCTCCTCCAGGCCAGAGACTTTGAAGCTTCAAGACAGCAGGGAATTCAGCTGCCATAGAAGCTGGGGAAGGGCAAATGGCAGAGTCTGATGGGCTCAACTGTCAGGGAAAAGGAAGGTGGCACAACCGTATCTATCCCTTGGTCCCCCTACACCTCGGGAACATCCTTGCTCTGTCTAGGTCACCTGACCGACCTCCCCACTACTGTCCTTAGCTAGCAGGTTTTACAGTTTCCTTAGGATGGGTCAAAAGACTCATTTTCCCTGGTAATAGAGCAAATCCAAGAGCTTTCCAGAGACTGCTTTACTTCAGCCCTGGAGTATCTGTGGGATGACTTTAAGGATACAGTGTTTAAATTATGAGTGCTGCTCACTACTGCTGAGGGCACTGCTTCATGGTTAGCTGTACTGCCCTTGTTCTGCTGCATGTGAAATAAAACCATTTTTGCCCGGTTTGGAATCCTTCAATACAGAACATAGTCATTGGAAGACAATGTGTGTGAATTCCAAACAGGTTTCTGAAGCCTTTTGTTGAAAGAAAATAACCAAAGACGTTAGATGGAGTGTGTTCCGGGTCATTGGCTGAGTGGGACAAGACCTCAGAAAACAAATCGCCAAGCATTCCATTTGGGTAAGACAACACTGTATGCATTAGTCCTTTGGTGCCCTAAAGACTAGCAATGGGCCGAGCCAGAGGTGTGACAGCCAGCCTGTGTGTGGCAATGTCCATCTCAAAAACAACAAAACATTTGTTCATTTTAATAGACAGACGATAACTGCTTGGTCACCGGGCAGTAGTGGTGCACACTTTTAATCCCAGCACTTGGTCAGACTAATTAACTGGCCTTTTATATTTGCAAAAGAGAATTTATTCTTTTAAAATCTATTTACATCGACATACAAAGCTACTATAATGCAACTGTCCTCAGCTTATCTCAGGAACCTTCCAATGAGCCTTCTCTTATAATTGCCCGAGCAAGATTCCGAGCAAGAGCCAGTCTCAGCATTTCCACCTTCGTGGTCTCTATGTCGTCATCCTAAGAGCAGAAAGGCAATGTAAGGCACAACAGGCAGCATTCTCAAACACTTCCAAGAGAGCATACAGCAATCACATACTCAGCCTAAAACCAGTATACTGTGGTTAGCTCTTCAGTGGATGACAAGAGGCATCCCACTTGCTCCTAAAAATTGCTATGTGACTGGGCACTGGTAGTACATGCTGGTAGTTCATAAGGGGCTAATGTTTGAGGACCACACAATCGTAGAGGGAAATTATCAGATAAACCTTTTCCCACTTCAACATGGAGCCACCTCCCCAAAGTTAAAATGACCTGGAGTCTCTGGGCATCCAGCTCACCACACCCTGGCCTCCCTGAGGCCAAGTCTTCCAGGCAGCGCATCAGCTCATATGTCTGTTCTGATGAAAAAATCACCTAGGGGAAAGAAGCGGAGTCATTTAGCTGTTCCCCAGGAAGAGCCAGTGTCCAAATTCTTGGGAATTCCCATTGGGAAGAATGCTGCCGTGGTTCCTCGTCTCCTGTCCACCCATCCATTCTGGGCTGGCTCCATTAGCAGACAGCATCACTTTGGGTTTTCTTTCATGAGCCTTATGATGCACTTGCATGCACAGAACTCCTTGGGAAGAGGCACAGACGAGCATCTGCATGGCTACAGAACCAGGCAAAGCACAGAATACACCCTGCTGGGGCTGATGAAGCCTTACCTGTTTCTGTTCCAAAAGAGGCAGGGCGTCTGTGAGCAGAGTCATCCAGAAAGAGCGGGGTGCGATCTGAGATGTCATGAGGGACAGCAGGAGAGAAGCGGCATCGGCAAAGCGCTTCTCCCCATACAGTCTGTGGAACTCCCGGTACTTCCCTGTTGGGAAGGGCAGGGATCCACCTGAAAATTCCTCTCCACTTACCCGATACGGGCCTTAAAACTAGAACCCCATACACCACTGGCATGTTTGTAGAGCAGTCTCGAGTTCATAGATAAATGAAATGTAGGATTTAAAGACACACCTTTAGGAACAGCAAATCTGGGGAAATACCAGCACTGTGATAGACTGTAAGAGATCAGACAAGAGCTGGAAAGACAGTCATTCCATGGTTGATGACACTAACTTTTCTTACAAAAGACTTGGATTCGGTGCCCAGTATCACATGGCAGCTCACAATCATCTAACTGCAGTCCCATGGGACCCTACAACCTCTTCTGGCTCCTGCAAGCACCATGCATATATGTGCATATTGCAGACATACATGCAAGCAGAGAACACCCATACAGGAAACAGGTTTTAAAAAGGATTAAAGGGTTGGAGAGATGGCTCAGAAGTTAAAAGCATTGGCTGCTGTTCCAGAGGACCTGGGTTCAATTCCCATCACTTACATGGGCGCTCATAATTGTGACTCCAGTTCCAGAGGATATGACACCCTCACACAGATATATATGCAGGCAAAACATCAATGCACATAAAAAATAAATGTAAGGGAGCTGGAGAGGGCTCAGCAGTTAAGAGCACGGACTCTTATTCCAGAGGACCCAGGTTCAATTTCCATCGCCCACACGGCAGCTCACAACCATCTTTAACTCAAAGATCTGACACCCTCACACTGACACAGTACAGACAAAACACCAATGCACTAAAAGGAAATGAGACAAATTTTCATGTGTGCACGAAGTGTGTGTGTGTTAAGGATTTATTTCTTTTTATGTGCTTTGGTGTTTTGCCTGTATGTATGTATGTATGTCTCTGTGAAGATGTCAGATCCCCCTGTAATAGACAGTTGTGAGCTGCCATGTTGGTGCTGGGAATTGAACCCAGGTCCTCTAGAAAAGCAGTCAATGCTCCTAACCACTGAGCCATCTCTCCAGTTCCCATAATTAGAGGGTAGCCTGGTCCACACAGGGATTCCCAGGACAGCCAGGGCTACACAGTGAGACCCTGTCTTAAAAATCAGTCTGAAAAGTAAGGAGTGTCATTCCTTGTGCCATATCTACATTTCCCTAAGTTTGGAATTACTGGAAAATAAAATGTTACCAAAACCCTATAAAAGCTAGCACATAGGATTCTAGGTAGATTGGAGAAATCTAAAAGGATGGTCCCCTCATACTCAGGTAAAAGAATGCAGAGACTCACCCAAGAATGTCAGTCGATCACTGAGCATCATGGCTGGCCCCAGGTTGTCAATGAGATCCAGATCAGAAAAGCAGCCTCTCTCACAGTAATCCCTGAGGAATCTGCAGGACCCAACCCAAAGGTTAGAGCAGCAGTACTAGGCCCTCCTCAAACTCCAACCTCCCAGCCAACTAGAAAACTGTACCCACCTGTCAGATACGAGTGTGGCAAAAGCAGCATCTTTGGCTCGGATGCTCCAAGAGAGGGCTGAGCCCAGACGATTATTGCGGACAGCCTTCATGGCCAAGATCTTACAGATGCTTCGAACTTTGCAGGAGAGAAGACAAAAGGCAAAGTCTTACATCTTATAATCCCTCCTGTGAAGAGCATCATTACAATCAAAAGTACTATGAACTCAATATACAGCTAAGTCAGAAGAACCAGAAACTTAATAGTATATTCTTTTGTTTTTTTTGCTTTTGAAGACAGGGTTTCCCTGTGTAGCCTTGGCTGTCCTGAGACTCACTCCGTAGCCCAAGCTAGCCTCAAACTAACAGAGATCCACCTGCCCCTGCCTCCTCCATGCTGGGACTTAAGGTGTACACCACCACCGCCCAGCTCATAGTTTATTCTTGCTGTCTTCTCTCTACCCAGTACCACAGACGACCCACCTACTAGCCTGGCTTTCTGAGTGTTTGTGCTTAGCAAAAAGTCTTGGTTCCCCCCACAAAACAATCCCACCATTATCTGTCTAGAGACCACAAAATCTACCTTCCTCCTTTCGGGTCTTGAACCCCATGAGCTCACGATATGGTTTCAGGGTTCACTTGCTTCCCAGCCAGCAGCAGTAGGAGGATGACGACAAAGCAACGGACACCTGTCCCAGTTGCACTCGCTGTGCTCCTGCCGGGCTGCCCCGCTGCTCTAGGCTTCCCTGTAGCAACCACCCACCTAGGACTCTCAGCTCTGAACACAGATCTCATCGTATGTGAGAACAAGCTGGGTCTGCTAAAAGGAGAAGGGCTGATTGTTCTAGGTTTGAAAGGGCACTCCCAGCCCACCTGTCCCTCCCTGACGGTGGGCATGTACCACACACCAGCTCTCTAGTGTGGCAGGGAAAGGTTAGCTGTCACCATGTTGGGGTGCCGTGCTCAGCCCAGGGATGCACTGACAAACCAGAGGGCAAGCTGGGAGAAGCTCACAATCACCTTGTTCGGTCATCTGCCGTTGCTCACAAATCCTCAGCACCTTCAGGGCTTTCTGCTCTGTGTTGAGAGGAATCCGCTCAATGTGCAGCTCCAAGGAAACTCGGCCCAGCTCCGGGCAGTAGTCAAAGTAATCCACCCCCAGCTGCCACAGGCTAAGGTCCAAGGAAGGCAGATGTTGAAAGGCTAGAGGGACTGCCCTATGGCTCTGGGCATTGCCACCTGAGGTTCATTGTCCCAAACCCTCAAAACCAGCCAAGAGAGGACAGTGAAGCACCACTGGCTTCCACAAGGTCAGTACCATTTGTGGGACTTCCTACCTGTGATGAGCAAACAGTCCTGAGGCATATTCCAGCAGAAGGAATTCTCTCATATTAGAACCAAAACTGGGAAACAAAAAACAAAAAAACAACACAGAATTGCAAGACTGCCCCTCAGGCTCCTGTAACCTAACCTCCTCCTGTGCATTCCACTGGCCCTCCCTCAAAGGCCTGGTGACGTAAGAAAGAGGGACAGTGCATTTGGCCAACTTACTAGAGGTTGTGTGACTGGAGGAGTCTGCAGTGATCCAAAAGGTCGGTGAGGTGAGCTACAAACCACCAGTTGCTCAAGGCAATGCTACAAATGCAGACACAAAAGGGAAAAGGAAGTCAGGGAAAGGACTGAATCCCATGACCGAGATGAGCAAGAAACCCACACATCTTAACGCTTTAAAAAGAGCACAGGACTGGACAGAGGAATGGCAGAGGGAAAGGGCCCTATGCCAAGCATAACAACCAGACTTTAATTCCGGGGACCCACACAATGAAGAGAACCAACTCTCAAAAGTTGTCCCTGGACCTCGACTGGGAACATGGCATGGGTATTCATGTATGTGCATCAAGCTCATAATTTAAATAAATAAATAAATAAATAAATAAATAAATAAATAGAGCCTCCTGCTGGTGGCACACACCTTTAATCCCAATGCTTGGGAAGCAAAGCAAGCAGATCTCTCTCAGTTAGAGACCAGCCTGATCTACATAGCAAGTTCCAGGACAGCCAGGGCTCCACACAGAGAAACCCGGTCTCAAAAACAAACACAAAACAAAATGTGTGTCTGTAATCCTCATACCTACTAAGTAGAGACAGAAGGGTCAAGAGTTCAAGGTTAGCCTTAACTATGTATCAAGTTTAACTTCTACCTGAACTACATGAAATAGGCTCCCCTCAAAATTAACATGGTAGCAGAAGGTAAATCCTTCCCATTGCCCAGATCTACAGTAACAAATCCAGGCCAGTGCTTCAAAGCAAGGCTGTCTACTGCCACTCCCAACTTCCTCCCTTCCCAGCAGGCTGCAAATCAATTCTCAGTCCAATACAAACAGCCAGACAGATGCCCAAAGACTAAACACAGTGTGGCGGCACACGCCTTTGATCCCAGCACTTGGGAGGCAGAGGCAGGTGGATCTCTGAGTTCAAAGCCAGCCTGGTCTTCAAAGAGAATCCCAGGACAATCTCCAAAACCTACAGAGAAACCCTGCCTAGAGAAACAAAACAAAACAAAAACACCCAACAAGACTACACACAGAGTCTCTATGAAAGTTTTCCTGTTTGAGACTATGTAGTCCTGGCCTGGCCTGGGACTCTCAGGTTCACAGCCCTCAGGCTGAGTGCCTCCCTTACTGCAATGATGAGCCTTAACTGAAGGAAGGAGTGTTCAACATAAATCAAAGGTAAGCCTTCATGCCTGAAGTTGTGATCATGTACTTTCAAAGTAGGGACAAGGAGATTAGGAGTTCAAATCTAATCTTGGCTACACAGTGATTTTGATCCCGGAGTTACATGAAACCCAATCTCAGAAAACCAAAACTTTGCTAGGTGCAGTGGCTCATGCCTTTACCCCTTCCTAGTACTTGGGAAAAAAGAGCCAGAGCCATGAAGGTTTAATAGCCCAACCCATTGAAATTAAACGCTTGGGACGCACTCTCCTCCAAAGCGGGTGCATGGCCAGTGTGTCTACCACTAACTTCACTATTGTTAATTCTTGCCTAGATTGTTTTAACTAACATTTATTTATGTGTGTTTCTGTCTGCAAGTGTATGCCAGTATACATCAAAAGCCACAGTATGCATGTGGAGGCTAGAGGACAATTTTCTGAAGTCAATTGTCTTTCTACAACGTAGATCCCAGGATTCAGACTTTTCGGGCTTAGTGACAAGCACCCTTTACCTGCTAAACCATCTCTCAGTCCCTTTCTAGATTTTCTCTTGTCTTTCTTTTTTGAGATAGGGTCTCATGTAGCCCAGGTTATCCTTGAACTTGTGATGTAGTACAGGCTGGCCTTTGAACTCCTGACCCTCCATTCCTCAGTCTTCCAGGTGGTAGGAATATTATAATTGAGGTACAAAGCCTGTCTACTTCCTTCAATGGCATTTCCTGCAATGCTGTTTTGAATACCCCTGAAATGGAAAGAACTATAAACAAGGTAGCTCTCAAGCAGTGAAATCCACAACTCATCACAAGAAGCCACTGTCTGTGAGCACATGGTCATGCAGGAGATGTGAGCAGTCTTAAGTGGCATGAGGACACTGAGACGGGCCTTCAGTGAGTGATAAGGACTCTCTCTCATATATGGAATGCAGTGACTTACAAAGAAACTTAACAGGCTACAACCCCTGCCTCCCACCTTCCACCACTTGGAGGAGGCTCTGGAGGACACAGCACTACCAGGAGGTGGGTGTGGTGGCTCAAACCGGTTCCCCAGCACCTGGAAGGATGAGGCAGCATTCCTGGGCTGCCTGGCTACACAGTGAACTCCAGAACAATCTAAGCTACCGTGAGAGACACTCTGTCTCTCAAAACAACAGGTGCCATCACTAAAGCAGGACCCAACCCTCACAGGAGAATGCACCTACCGGTGCCTTCACCCCACACTTCCAGCCTCAAGAATGAAGGAAATAAATTTCTGTTCTACATAAATTACCCAGGCTCAGGTACTCCATCACAGCAAGTACAAAACAGCAGAACTACAGAAATAAATGTAAAAAGGTGGTATGGTGGCCCTTACATATAATCTCAGATTTTTTTTAAAAAAAATTTTAAGGCCAACCTGTGCTACATAGTCAGTTCCAGGGCAACCCCAAAACAAAAAACAGATTGATGGCTTGGTGCATAAGAACACTTGCTCTGGGTGCTGGTGAGACAGCCCAGAGGTTAAGAGTACTGGCTACTCTTTCAGAGGTCCTGCAATCAAATCTCAGGAACCACATGGTGAGTCACAACCCTCTGTAATGAGATCTGGTGTGCTCTTCTGGCCTACAGGCGAGCAGAACACAGTGTACACAATAAACAAGCAAATCTTAAAAAAACAAAGCCAGGAGTGGGTGGCTCACACCTTTGATCCCAGGACTCCGAAGGCAGAGGCAGGTGGATCTCTGGGAGTTTGAGGCCACCATGGTCTACAGAGTAAGTGCCAGGATAGATAGGCTCCGAAGCTACATAGAAACCCTGTCTCAGGGGGAAAAAAACAAAACAAAACAAACAAACAAAAAAAAACACTTGCTCTACAAGCATGAGGGACTCCAGTACACACCAGGTAATAAGCCAGATGTACCTGTGGGTGCTTACAACCAGAGCACTGAGAGTCCATGTCTCAAGGAAATAAAACTGAGGTTTTAACAAGGCACATTAACCACCATACACAGAGTACATACAAATATAAAACAAGCCAATATAAATAAACCACCACACACAGAAAAAGAGCAAACGCTCCAGGGCTGTGCTGGCACACACCTTTAATCCCAGCACTCAGGAGGCAAAAGTAGATGGATCTCTGTGAGACTGAAGCCAGCCTGGTCTACAGAGCCAGTTCCAGGACAGCCAAGACTACACAGGAAAACCCTGTCTCAAAGAAAATAAAAACTAGGAAAGAAAGTAAAAAAGCAAAAGGAACAGGGACAATCTAGAAGTAAATGGAGGTGATGACTGATGTATATTGAATACTGACGAATTATACCCCTTAAAAGAGAATCCCTATCAGGGTGGAGAGATGAATCAGAGGTTAAGAGCACTGACTGCTCTTCCAGAGGTCCTGAGTTCAATTCCCAGCAACCACATGGTGGCTCACAACCATCGGTTATGAGATCTGGTGCCCTTTTCTGATGTGCAGATATATATGGAAGCAGAATGTTGTATACATAATAAATAAATAGAAAGAGAGAGAGAGAGAGAGAGAGAGAGAGAGAGAGAGAGAGAGAGAGAGAGAGAGGCCCTGTCTCAAAAAAAAAAAAAAAAAAGAAGCCCTGTCTCCAAAAAATAAAATAAAACAAAAAAGCCCAGTTAAAGTGAGGGTGCCTTACCTGCACTCCTTGATCACTTGGTGAATGTCAAACTCAAAGGCTGCCATCAAGATGTTGTCCAGTGGCTCTGGACTGCTCTCACCCCCCAGAAACATGTCCAGGCTAGACTGTGGAAGGTGATAGCCCAACTCAATCTCCCAAGATGGAAGCAGAGACTGGGGGTGGGGGTGGGGGTGCGGGTGGGAGGGGGGGTGGGGCGGCTCTCCAAAGAAAATCCAGCTGCTTGCTGCCTGGATGCCAGGTTCCCAAAGAAGTGCCCAGCCCTGGCCTGCCCCCGCCCACACCTTGCAGAGAGCCTCCAGGCGGGGGCTGGCTGCGAACGTGCTGTCTTGCAAGTGCCGCTCACATTCCTCACGCCAGTGCTGCCACTTCAGCTCCAGTTCAGTCAGCGTCTGAGTGTTGCCAGGCTGCGGGACGGGACAGGCCTGCTGTGAGACACTGAGACCCCAGACCTACACGTTCCCTGATCCCTATCTCCCAAGGCCGGGCAGGCAAGGAGGCTCCCACATACACTGAGAATGGGCATTGTCCTCATCAGGTCCCCAAGGATGCGGCACATGCTTGCACAGGAGGGGTTGGCATCAGCTTCTTTGGACAGCATTTGTCGTGCCTCATCCAACCGGCCCTGAAGCACCAAGACAGTCACCTGCAAAGAGATGGGAGCCAAGAGCCCCCAGCAGAAGGCTCGCTACTCCAAAGTGCTGACGCCTCCAGGCTGCCCTTGACCCGAGTCAGCAAGAACTCCTCCCTTCCAGCAGTGACTCCCAGTCATACCCTGTGCTGGCTGATTTTAAAGTAGCTTGACATGGGCTACAGTCATCAGAGAGGCTAGAACCTCAACCAAGAAAATGCCTCCATAGCATCAGGCTGTAGGTAGGTGGAAAGCATTTTCTCAATTAGTCATTTATTTGGGAGGGCCCAGCCCATGGTAGGTGGGGCCATCCCTGGGATGGTGGTCCTGAGTTCTGTATGACAGCAGGCAGAGCAAGCCATAAGGAGCAAGCCAGCAAGCAGCACCCCTCTATGGCCTCTGCCTCAGCTCCTGTCTCCAGGATCTTACTCAGTCTAAGTTCCTGCCTTGGCTTCTCTCAATGCACTATTACTCTGGGCTATGTAAATTAAGCCCTTACCTCCCCAAGTTGCTTTTGGCCATTGTATTTCATCACAAGAATAACAACCCTAAGATATGACTCCTTTAGCAAACTGTCAGTTTAAAGATAGCTGGCAACCAACTTTAAATGTTTTAACACCCGTGTGTGTGTGTGTGTGTGTGTGTGTGTGTGTGTGTGTGTGTGTGTACAGTTGTGTACCATGAGGAGGCCAGAGGACTATCAGGTGATCAGCACTTATGACTTAGTCCCTAGAGACAGGATCTCTCACTGAACTTAAGAGTTAGGCTGGTGGCCATCCCCAGCACCACATCACTGGGAACATAGGCAACCACGCCACCCAAACCTGTCAAAAACAACAACAACAAAAATTCCAGACCAGTAGGGCTACATAAGGAGACCTTGTCTCAAAACCCAAAGCAGACAGGCAGTGGTGTCACAGCCTTTAATCCCAGTACTCAGGAGGTAGGGATCTCTGTGAGTCAAGGTGTCAAGGCCAGCCTGGTCTACAGAGAGTTCCAGGACAGACAAACACACACAGCAAAGAAACCCTGTCTCAAAGGAAAACAAAAAACAACAAAAAACCAACAGCAACAACAACCAAAAATAAAACAACCAAGGATATTCTTTTTCTTTTGGTGATGCTAGAGATTGTGATCTCGAAGATGCCGGCAGGTATTCTAGGATGCCACAAGCCCCTGATCGGTGGTTCTCAATCTTACTAATGCTGGAACCCCAGCCATAAAATTACTTCATTGCTACTTCATAACTGTATTTTGCTACTGTTATGAATCCTTGTTTGTTTGTTTGTTTGTTTTTGAGGCAGGGTTTCTCTGTGGCTTTGGAGGCTGTCCTGGAACTAGCTCTTGTAGACCAGACTGGTCTTGAACTCACAGAGATCTGCCTGCCCCTGCCTCTCGAGTGCCGGGATTAAAGGCGTGCGCTGCCACCACCACCCCGAGCTACAGTTATAAATCCTAATGTAATTATCTGCTATTTACATTACGGCCCTAAGCAGTCTACCTCAGAACAGCCACTGTGCTCATCTGCACTCCATCCCCACCTTAGTCCCCATCAACCACTTTGACCATCTTACCTTCTCTTCCTCAGCTCTATAAACAAATCAAACTTCCTTTCCAACAGCAAGTGTTACCCTTCATGCTAAATTAGTTTGAAACTACTCTGCAGCAGAGAAAGAAAGATGTAAAACTGCTGCTAGGATCAGAAACTCAAAAGAGCCGAGCCAAGGCCTGGAGCAGTCGTCATCCTATAGCCACCTGACAGCACCAGGATGCAGAATGCAAAGCAGAAGGAAGGAGGGGGCTGCCCACGTTATACTCACCAAGTTCCAGAAGCTCTCATGTTTGCTTGGGTTCTCACTGCCCAGAACATCTGCCGATAAACTGTCTACCTCACACACGTGCAGTCGGACCCAGTCAAGAAGATGGAGGAGGAGAGGACCAGCTGAGGGGAGAGACTCATGTCACACACAAAGACCCCGGCTTCATCTGCAGCAAGTTCCACTTTACTCAAAGTACAGACACTGATGTTAAAGCAGAAAACCTGACTGCAGAGGGGTTTAATCTCCTGCAACTGGGAAGGAAAAAGCAAGGAGCTTACAAGTCAGTCCTCTGTCTCTGCAAGGCAGGACCATCTTGTTTTAACTTAAGAAAAGCAGTGTGGGAGAGAAAGACGCCACGCTACAGGGTTCAAGCAGAGGGTTTTTATTAGGGAAAGGGATCATAAAAAGGGGAAAGAGAAGGGGGGAGACTGGCTCCAGGGACAGGAGCAGCAGGAGAGAAGAAAGTGTGACAGAGGGGGAAGGGGAAAGAGGGGGATGAGGGGGAGGGGAGAGAAAGAAAGAGAGAAGGATGGATGTAGGCAGGGCCCTTTGGAAAGGGACCATCAGGTGCCTTTCCCATCACCACACCATCACCTGGTCATGTTTGATAATCTTGTGCCTCCAGTTCTACGGCCAACAGCTGGTAGTGCTGCCACAATGGCTGATTAAGAATGGTCAGTGGGAGCTGGAGAGATGGTTCAGAGGTTAAGAGCACTGGCTGCACTTCCAGAGGTCCTGAGTTCAATTCCCAGGACCCACATGGTGGCTCACAACCATCTGTAATGAGATCTGACACTCTCTTCTGGCCTGCAGGGATACATGCAGGCAGAACATTGTATATATAATAAATAATGGTCAGTGACTCTCCAAAAAACATTCCAGTGGGAGCAAGGAGGTATAGACGATGACACAGCTCCCATGAGTGAGGCAGAGAAGTAAGACCCAAGGGTCTGCAATTCCTAGCATCCCAGGAATTCAGACAGGGTTGATTTTGAGACAGGCACAGGCCTCCCAGTGAGGCGTCACTGAAATGTGGGGACCAAGGGCTCTGAGCTCAAGAGACACACAGTCCCCAGCTACCAGGACTTCCAGAAAAGCCAGAGGGGAGGAAAGGACCATGCTCCAGAAAGGAAGCCTCACGTGCAGGGCAATGGTCAGAAGTGGATAACCCCACCAGAGACCAATGGTTGGTATTGAATGGAAGGCAGAGCCATCAGTGAATGAAAAAGCAGCTTTGCGGCAGGTGGAAGAGCGGGTCTATTGAAGGTGGAGCAGGAGGGTGAGGTTCAAGCACGCAGTGATTACAAAGTGCCGGGAAGAGCATTTTTGGTCGGCTTATTCCCAGTGAGTGGAGCAGAGCAAGACCCAGTGGCTTTTGTCAAGCAAGGATCTAGCAAGAAAGGCACAAGCTGCTTGGGTGAATCGTCAATCAAGGGGCAGGGTCTGAATGGCCTGAGGTTCTGAGAAACCAGACAGGCACAGGCCACCCAGTGGGTCATCACACAAAGGTTGGGGGCTAAGAGCTCAAAGCCAGAGCGAGCTGTGGTTTCTGATACCAGGACTTAAGGAGGCCAAAAGGGGAGAAATTACACTCGAGAGAGGAGAGGATTCCTCACTCATAAGAACAGCTATGGTGGGAAAGGTGGAGAGTCTCACCAATCATGCCGAGTTTGGATGGAAAGACCGAGAGATCCGGAGAAGAGAGGCTGTTGGATGTGAAGCAGGTTTGAAGGTCCTGGCATACCTCAAACTGCCTATGGGCAGGAGAAGCCGCCAGGAGAGCCATCTCAGTCAGGGAACCAATGTTGTAATTTAAGAAAAGCAGCTGGTGAGAGATAGATGCCATACAACAGGGTTCAAACAGAGGGGTGGATTTTTGTTTTTTGTTTGTTTTTGAGGCAGGGTTTCTCTGTATTGCTTTGGAGCCTGTCCTAGAACTTGATCTGCAGTCCAGGCTGACACAGAACTGACAGAGATCCACCTGTCTCTGCCTCCCAAGTACTGGGAATTAAATGCATGCGCCGCCACTGCCCAGCTTAGAAGTTTGTTTGTTTTTTTTAATTAGGGAAAGGGGTAAAGGGGAGGAGGTAGACCAGCCACAGGGGACAGGAACAGTAGGAAGGAAAGATGGAAGAGGGAGGGAGACAAGTAGAGAGGGAAGGAGAGTAAGAGAGAGAAAGATGGGAGGCGAGCAGGGCTCTTTTAAAGGGAACATAGTGAATGTGCTCTGGTGGTGCTCTTAGTGGCTGCAGCTGAGGGCGTGTCCTGTCAGAACCCCCAAGGGCAGCCAGCACAGATGCCTGAGTACTAACACATCTTTCACTGGATCCTAGAAAGGACAGAACCTGCCCCAGCCTTACCACTCTCCAACATTGATTTTTGTTGTTGTTGAAACACGGTTGTGTTCTAAAGCCCAACCTTACCTAGAACTCTAACTTCTGCCTCCCAAGCACTGAGTATGTAGGAAGACCAGCGCTGTGAGTGCGACCATACCTTGCCACAGGTGGATTCCTCACAAACACCGAAGGCTATGTGCAGTGTCTTTGAAATGTCTATTTGATTACTGGCATTAATTAGATGGTACATATCAATGGTGATAAATGGATGTCTCAAAATCCACTGGACAGCGCACGCATCTGAATTACGTTTGTGTTATTGGGTTGTTTTTGGTTCTGTTTTGGAGGTTTTGTTGGAGATTTTTTTTGTTTTGTGCCTTTTTAAAAAAACTTATATTTACCTTCATTTTATGAATATTTTGATGCATACATGCAGTACCCAGAAAGCTAGAAGAGAGCAAAAGGCCACCCCTGGGACTGGGGTCACATAAGGTTGTGGGCCACATTGGTGCTGGGAAGCAAACCTGTATTCTTCGAGAGCTCTCAAACTATGGGCTCTCTCTCCAGTCCCTGTTTTGTTTTCTTTCCTTTTCCCCCTTCTTTTTGGAAACATGCTCTCACTATGTATACCTGCCTGGCCTGAAACTCAGAGGCTCTCCTGCTGTTGGGATTTAAGGGTATGACACCACACCTGGCCTATGTTTTGTTGTTGTTGTTGTTATTGTTTTTGTTTGTTTCTTTGTTTTTCCAGACAGGGTTTCTCTGTAGCCTTAGAGTCTTCCTGGATTTCATAGAGATCTCCCTGCCTCTGCCTCTGCCTCCTGAGTGCAGGGATTAAAGGAGTCACCACCACTACCCAGCTCTGGCATATGTTATGATTTTTTTTCTTTTTAGATTCATTTATTATGTGTATAGTGTTCTGCCTGCACTTCAGAAGAGGGCACCAACTCTACTTAGAGATGGTTATGAGCCACCATGTGGTTGCTGGGAATTGAACTCAGGTCCTCTGGAAGAACAGCCAGTGTTCTTAATCTCTGAACCATCTCTCCAGCCCATGTTTTGATTTTTTTCAAGGTGGACGGATAACTTTGTATCCCTGGCTGCTCCCTCAGTAAAGCATGTTGGTCTCTGCTGGGATTAACTGCTTGCATCACCACATGTGGCTGTTTGTCATCCTTTTCAGGCAGGATCTTGCTGTGTAACCTAATGACCTCTGCCTTCAGCTTCCCAGTCAATCTAATAGGAAGGCCCCTGAGTGAAATGCTAGCATTTCACTGCAGAGGTTAAAGTTCTATGCAGTTATGAGAAACAGCCAGCACAAGTCATTACACTGTCAATAAATTAACATAAACAAACCAACAACCACAGCACCTAAACACAGAGAACAAGACCCAGGATGAGCCACAGCTTCATTCAAGATCAAAGGAATAACGCCAATTAGATAGACAGGCAGAGTGTAACCCAGTCCTGATCACCAGTCACAGCATTCTTAACCCCGCCTGGACTCCCATCACCCAGGCCCTCCAAAACCCATTACATTTTATGCTCAGACAGTCCATACACTGAGCACCCTTTTTAATGTTAGTTGACTCTTTGTTTCTCAGTACCTTTTTTTAAAAGTGTGTGTGAGTGTGTGTGTACGTGTATGTGTGTTGTGTGTTGAGTGTGTGTGTGTGTGTGTGAGTGTGTGTGTGTTGCCTGCCTGTGTCTGTGCACCACTCTCAGGCCTGATGGTAGCAGAGGTGTGAGTGAGCTCTGGCTCCCCTGCAACTACAGATACAGATGTTTGTGAGCCACCATTCTGGGAGCTGAACGGAGGTCAGTGCTCTTAACTGCTGAGCCATCTCTTCAGCCCCACACAGTACTTTTGAAGTGCCCTCTACCTAATGTCTTAGGTTCCTAGAGGCACTCCGTGGTGTCTGATGAAATGCCCCATTTCTGTGGCTGCTCTGGACTCCTCTCTGGTGGAGACACTGGAGAGCAGTGTAGCCCCAGCAATGTGCTGTCAGGAAGCACAGGCAGGGGACAATGTACAGAGGACGACAGGGACCCGGGGACATCATAACTGCAGGAAAGGAACAAACAAACTGGACTTACCTGGGGCTACTTCAATAAAAAGGATCTCACACAGGTTCCAAATGAGCTCCATGGCTGACAAAATGGAAACCTAAAGAGGAAATGGAGACAATTTTAACAGAAAATATTGCTGAAATCTGAATGCAAAGCAAAGAGAGTAGAGCACAGTAGAGCCGGAGTCACAAACAGTCACTGATAACCCCAAGGCAAGATTTCCCACAAGATAGCAGGATCTCTTCTAGTTCAAGGCTGGCCTGGCTCAACACTGGTGAGTTTATTTTCCAATGAATTAGGAAGTAAACTAGCATAACACACGGGCGGCTCTTGATGAATTGTGTTTAAAAGAGCTGTATTTGAGTAAAAGAAAGAGATAATTTTGAGAAGCTTTGTCAATAAATTTAATCAATCAATCAACAATTAACTAATTAATAAGCAGAACAAATTTTTGAAGTTGGAGCCAGGGCAGTGGTGGACACCTGTGAACCTGCCACTTCGGAGGCCAAGTGTCAAGGGCTCTATGCTGGCCTGGCCTGTAATCCTAGCACTTGGAATGTGAGGGTAGGGGATGAAGACTTCCAGGCCAGCCTGAACTTATGAAATCCTACTTAAAAAAAGAAAAAGTAAAAGAGAAAGGAGAAGGAGAAAGAAAGGTGCATATGCCATGGACTGAAGCTTAGGAAACAGGCTATTAAAGGCTGAGTCCAGGCGCTGAAGAAGATCTCAGCCATGGAGAACACTGGCTGTTCTTGCAAAAAGCCTGGGTTTGATTCCCAGCGACCATATGGTTGGCAGCTACAACCATCGGAAACTCCAGTTCCAGGGGATCTGACATCTGCTCTGACCTCTGTAAGGATGGTACACACGGTACACAGAAACACATGCAGGCAAAATACCCATCCACATAAAATAAAATAAATACATCTAAAAAAATTAATCCCAACACTCGGGAGGCAGAGGCAGGCGGTTCTGTGAGTTCGAGACCAGCCTGGTCTACAAGAGCTAGTTCCAGGACAGTCCCCAAAGCCCCAGGGAAACCCTTGTTTGAAAAACAAAAAAAAAAAAACCAAAAAACAAAACAAAAAAAATATCTAAAAAGAAAAATAAACCCAGCAAAGTCCAGAGCAGGTAAGGTAGCTCATGTTGTAAACCCAGCATTCAGGAGTCTACAACAGAAAGATCAATAATACAAGTCCACTGCCAGCTTGTGAGTGAGTCCCTGTCTCAAAAAGCAACAGAAGGGCTGGAGACATTGATGTGTAGGTAAGAGAATTTGTTGTGCAAACATGAGGTGCAGAGTTTGGGTCATAGCACACACAAGCTGGAGACCTGAGCTACGGGAGAACAGAGAGAGGAGGATCACTGGAGTTTGCAGACTTCTAGTCTAGCCAAGAAATCACAACACCTATGTCCAAGGAGAAACAGAATAAGCAGAGAATGATAGAGCACATCCAACACCCTCTTCCGTCCCCCACATGCACGCACAGGTGACCTGCATGTGCAGACACTCAAAGAACACACACAATAAAAATAAGTAAAAATAAAGGGGACATGTAGACTGAGGGTGTGTATATATAGCTCAGTGACAGTGAAGGCGCTTAGCACACCGAGGGTACTGGGACTAAGACCCAACACTGTAGAACCTGAAAGAGCAAAGCCTGACATAAGGCCCCCCACAAAAGATAAGGAGACCTGGACCCTGTCCTTACCAAGATGAAGTGAAGTGGCGCCACCCCTCCCCCAAATCATCACTACGCTTCAGTTCAGACATCTTAACTCCTTGAACCTTGGTTCTCAGGAAAACACACACCGTGCCAGGCCAAGGCAGGGTATTGTCCCGGTTCATCCATTACAAAAGCACTGGCGTCCCACTAAGAAAAAAATCCTGTATGTCACCTTCTGGTCCTAATGAATGACTCCCACTTGCTGCTCAGCAAAAGTGAAGTGTTGAGTATGTGAGACTAAATGGTGGTCCCAAAAGCTCAACTCTCCATCTCAAATGACAGTTTACCAATACCATGTGCTTAAGACTCATCGCGTCCACAGGAAATAAAAACTCAGTATTTCTCAAGCAGACCCTGTGTTCCAATGGGTGAGGCCTTTGAAGGAAACACCAGCGCTTTCAAAGCCACACCTGCCAGCCCAACGAGCTGCTGGTCTACCTGGAAAGAAGAAACCTCCTGCAACAGTGACTATAAAGCCACCCTAGACACTAAGGACACGGACAGACATAATGTCGCCAATACAATGAAAACAGCTACCCCTTACCTGGCTGCTGAACTGCCGACCACTGGCTGGATCTTTAGCAGCAACTAGCAGAATACAAAACATCATAAGTGAACACTCAATCAGAATTGATTATATTCAATCTACTAAGCTCTCCTTCTAAGCTCAGTATGGCTCCTGTCTTTGTTTTAACACCCACCCATTTTCATTGAAAACTTTTATATACAAGGCCCCACTTTGAACTGCAAAGTAGTCTCCTTAAAGGCCTCTGGAGAAAACAGCACCAGACACATTCTTCAAATATACCAAAGTCCTTACTTGCAACCTGGTGCATTTCTTCCATACAGGCCCGTATGACTGATCGGTAATTCTTACTCACTCGAACCAATCTACAAAGAAATGAAATGGCATACAAGAGAATATTAAAAAAAAAAAAAATAGGAAAAGGACAGGTGTTATTGTCTCACACCTTTACTCACAGAACTTTGGAGGCAGAGGCAGCTTGCAGCTCTGGCTGGCCTGGAACTCACTATGCAGACCAGGTTGGCTGCCTCATTTTCAAATCTCACAAAAATGAAATCTAATTCAAGGCTTTCCTTTTATTTATTTATTACATACAAGGGACACATACAAAAAAATGAAGTAGGAACTGTAAAGCTTATCAAGCCGGGCGTTGGTGGCGCAGCCTTTAAACCCAGCACTTGGGAGGCAGAGGCAGCCGGATCTCTGAGAGTTCTAAGCCTGCCTGGTCTCCAGAGTGAGTTCCAGGACAGGCTCCAAAGTCCCAGAGAAACAGTGTCTCGAAAAACCAAAACAAGAAAAAGAAGAGCTTATCAAACCAGTAAGTAAGTATTACAACAGTATTTATACAATTTAGAAGTCCCCTTCTGGGAAAATACACAGGAGACCCGTGGCCCCCCATCACTCACAAGGATAAGGACTTCAGCATCCACCAGCACCCTACTTACTGAGCTTTCCTGGATTTTCCGGTCAATTCCTCCTCAATTCTTTGCAGGCCAATGAAGATTCCATGGGATTCATTGAAGAGTTTTCTCAAAATCTGAGAGTAAACATCTACATCTTTCCGTACGATGTAGATAAAGGGGCAGCTCGGCACCTTCTCGGATGTGTCTACTACAGAACAGGGAAAAAAATTAATTCAACATCTACCATTTCCACAAAAGAGAAACCATTCTAGTATTTCTAGTTCTTTAATTACAAAAACTGGCTGAGCAGGGGGCACACATCTATACACTCAGCCCTTGTAAGACTAAAGTGGGACGATTAGAAATTACAAAATAATAGTCACATACAATTCCATGCAAGTTAGGCCTACCTTTAAAAAAAACCAACGTTTTCTTTTCAGAGGATGGGGAATTGGGGAATGTTGAGATGGGGTCTCACTCCATAGCCAAGAATGGTGTCAAAGTCTTGGCAATCCTGCCTCAGTGCTAGGATTACAAACGGGCAACACAGCAGTTTCCTCTTTCTGGTGATACTGATGATCTAATTAAGGGTGTTTCACACACTATACAAGTTTATCCCCCAAGCCACTCAGTGATATATTAAGTATCCTTGGTTTTGCTTTGGTTTTTGGCTTTTTTTTTTAATGTTTTTTTCGAGACAGGGTTTCTCTGTGTAGCTTTGGAGCCTGAACTGGCACTCGCTCTGGAGACCAGGCTGGTCTCGAACTCACAGAGATCCACCTGCCTCTGCCTCCTGAGTGCTGGGATTAAAGGCGTGCGCCACCACCACCACCGCCTGGCGTTATCCTTGGTTTTTGAGAAAGGGTTTGGCAATGTATCCCAGGCTGGCCTCGAACTCTCCACCCTCCTGCTACTACACTGCATGGCAGAGATTCCCGGACTGCAAGCATGGCATTAACTATTGGTTAATAAAGAAGCTGAACTGGCCAATAGCCAGGCAGAGCAGAGTCAGGTGGGAAATCCAAGCAGATACAGGAAGGCAGAGTCAGGGAGAGGCCAGCAGCCACAGGGGAAGCAAGATGTGAGCTAACAAGCCAGGAGCCTTGTGGTAAAATATAGACTAATAGAAATAGGTTAATTTGCTGGGCGTTGGTGGCGCACGCCTTTAATCCCAGCACTCAGGAGGCAGAGGCAGGTGGATCTCTGTGAGTTCGAGGCCAGCCTGGTCTCCAGAGTGAGTGCCAGGATAGGCTCCAAAGCTACACAGAGAAACCCTGTCTCGAAAGAAAAAAAAAAAAAAAAAAAAGAGAAATGGGTTAATTTAGTTGTAAGAGCTAGTTAATAAAAGCCTAAGGAATTAGGCCATACAGTTTATAATTAATAAAAATTAAGCCTGCAGGTGGGTTATTGGGGAACCAGCAGGCAGAAGAGAAACTTCTAGTTACAGAGTATAGGCTGCTCTTCCAGAGGATCTAGGTTCAACTCCCAACACCTCACATGGCAGCTCACATATGTAACTCTAATTCCTGGGATCCAATGCCCTTCTTTGGCCTCTGCAGGCACCAAACACACAAGTAGTGAATTAATATGCATGTAGCAAAATACTCATACACAGAAAATAAATTTAAAACATTTTCACATCAAGTGTAGCAGTTCACACCTCAAATCCCAGCACACTGGAAGCTGAGGGGGGAAGATGTAGAATTCAAAACAAACTTGGGCTACATAGCAAGACTATACAAATTCAAGCCGCACTATAACTATATTAGGGGACCCTATCTCAAAATTACAAAACAAAAAGTTTCAAAAATAAAAATGTTGCCAAATAACTACTGTTTCTGCCCCCAGGTAGTCAACAAATGTGCAAAGACAAAATGAACAAGAACAAACTACCTTTTTTGCTGAAGGAAGTTTCACACAGGAGCATCTCCCCGGGACCCCAGTCAAAACACATTTGCTTCTTTTTGGAATTCACGCCTGGAATCCACTAGTAAAACATAAAGCACAGAACTGTTATCCTAGAAGGGGTTTTCTTCTCCATCCATGTGTAATCATCAGGCTGGGCACTGTGAGCACTCGGGGAGCAGCGGCAGGTGGGTCTCTGAGTACCAGGTCAGCCTGGTCTACACAGCAGGATAGCCAGGGCTACAAAGAGAAACCCTGTCTCAAAAGACCAAAAAGGAGGAAAGGAAAGTCAGCCCTGACTGATCTTCCAGAAGACCCAGGTTCAATCCCAGCACCCACTTGGCAGCTCACAACTATCTGTAACTCCAGTTTCAGGGGACCCAACACCCTCATACAGATATACATATAGGCAAAATGCCAACGCACATTAAGACAGTCCCTACATAAGCAAGGCAGTCTGACTGGGTACCCCAATCCAGTTTGTCACTTCTCTCTCAAGAAGCAAAGCCCAGAGTGGCAGAACACACCTGTATCCCAGTACTTAGGAGCCTGAGGCAGGAGCATCACTAAATTCAAGGCAAGCCTAGGCTACCGAAAGGGGAAAACAACAAAAATACTTAACTATGTTAAAACAAACTCCCATCAGCCTGTGCCACCTCTGCAAACCATGAGTCTAAATGTTTCTCTCCAGTTTATACCAATCCCTTTGAACCTTGGATCAGATCTAACTATCCAAGCCATACAGATATGGGCTATTCAATCACTTAAACCCACAAACAAGAACCAAGAAGAAAAACTTCTCCCCTAAAAGATAATTTATTCACGTGCCTACGAGATGACTCATCGGTTAAGAGGACTAACTGTTCTTTCCAGAGGACCAGGGTTCAATTCCCAGCACCCACATGGCAGCTCACAACAGTCAGTAACTACAGGATTCCACACCCTCACACAAACATACACACTGGCAAAACACCGATTAAAAAAAAATTAAAAGGATAATTTATTCACAAGACAGACAAAAAAACAGGAGATACAAGTACCACTTGCTCCCACCGGGTTTTTTTTTTGTTTTTGTTTTTGTAAACAAGGGCCCAGTTTCTCCCATCCACTTCCCAAGTGCTGGGGTTATGCCCTTGCTTTTGGAGAATGGTCTTGCAACCTAATTACCAAGCTAGCCTCAAGTGATGAGTCCCCAGCCTCAGGGTCCAAAGTCCTGGGCTTAGGCAGGGGCATCATAATACCTGGCTAAGAACTTATCACAGATTATCCACATTTGACAAAACGGTGCTGGAGAGGGGGCTCCCGAGGCTAACTGTGTTTAGGGTTCTTGCAAAGGACTAGAGTTCGGTTCCCGGCTAAAAAACACCTGTAACTCTAGCTCAGGTGGTATCCGACGCACACACGTTCTTAAAAATATTTTTACAAGTCCAAGCGAATAGAATCCAAATCGACGGAAACTGGCAGCCCCACAGTCTCCAGAGAGAACAAATGAGGTATCTATTAAGCCTCGGGCCAGCACCACAGGAGAGGGCGACGCTAACTGAGCTCTCAGAGCGGCGATGTGGGACTTACACCGAGCTCGCTCCAACGCCCGCGGAGGAGAACTAGACAAACAGAAAGATCAGAACGGCAGGGGATGCAGTGGGGCCTCCGGGGCCCGCGGAGAAGTCCCGGGAGCTGAGCTGAAGCCTGGGGACCATCACCGCCCCCACCCAGCTCCCCGTTCATCTGACACCCGGGACGGTGCCGCCGCGTCCCGGGCAGAAGCGTGCGTGCGTCCCGCGGCTCGGAGGGAAGGCAAGCCTGTAGTGACCCAAGAAGCGCAGCCTCACAATGCGACAAGCAAGCCTGGCTCTCGCGGGCGCCCTTACAGTTATTGCGGGCTCGCAATCGAGCTCCTCCATTGCGCTGGGGCACAGCGGACCGGACCTCGCCGCGCCGCCGCCGCCGCTCTCCGCTCAGGCCTCCCGCTCACAGCCAGCTGCCAAAGAGGACCCCACCAGGGCGGCTTCCGCAGCGCCTGCGCAACCCAACGCAGCAGAGCCCTGCTTCTCAGCCGCCACCCAGCCCTCTGCAGCCGCCCATTCATACACCACCACCCTGCCGGGGACAACGCCTCAGGAAAAACCGCGCAAGGGGCCACCCGTCCTCACGGAAGGCTCCCACCGAATCAGGCGGCGCCGAGGGCACTCCCACACCTGGCAGGGAGAAGGCCCCCGGAGATGGCGGGAGAGACGGCGGCCGGGAGGGGGCGCGCATGCGCGGTCCTCCGGAACGCGTCTCCGGTTGGCTTCTTGGGAAACGCGCGCTCTTCCCGCGGGGCGGCGGGCGCTCCCTGCTCATCTGCGCTGTCAGGGCTTCCCGGCCCCGCGCCGACCGCCGTTCTTCTGCGCTCGCTCAGAACGGCCGACTAACACCTGCAACAGGGCACGGAACGGGAAGGGGGCCAAGCGGCAGTCCCGGCGCCGGGGAAGTGGAGACGGGAACCCCGGGGGCCGGGCCCGGCCGGAGGGTGAGCTCACACCACGGCTCAGTGAGACCGTCTCAGAAGACCAGCAGCCCCACAAGGTGTCCAGGAAATAAAGGAAAATCCCTTGGCCGTCAAAATTTCGCCCAAATCCTTGTCGCGGAAATCAGCCCTAATGTTGTTAACATTTACGGGGCTGGAGTGTTGGGTCCCTGGGTAAAGCGCCCTGGCTGCTCCTCCGAGGATCCCGGTTCATGTAAAACAACAGATCCCATGCCCGCTTCGCCAGACAGACAGACAGACGCGGGACACAGACACGCAGGGAAAACACTGGTATACACACAATGAAATAATTGTTTAAAATATTAAATTTACTGTAATTTGTATTTTAAATGAATAACTCATTTTGTTTTTCGAGACAGGGTTTCTCTGTGGCTTTGGAGGCTGTCCTGGAACTGGCTCTGGAGACCAGGCTGGCTTCGAACTCACAGAGATCCCCCTGCCTCTGCCTCCTGAGTGCTGGGATTGAAGGCATGCGCCACCAACGCCCAGCATTTATATTTAATTTAAAAAATATAAATTAATCGTTACGAAAAACATAACGATTTACCACATGTATTTTGCTACCTTTTCCAAAAGTTTCACAGTGTCATTATAATCACTGACTCCAACAGTATATACATTTGGGGTGGGAGAAAAGGGGGTTCAAGACCGGTTTTCTATGTAGCTTTGGAGCCTGTATTAGAACTTGCTCTGTAGACCAGGCTGGCCTTGAACTCACAAAGATCCTCCTGCCTCTGCCTCCTGAGTGCTGGGATTAAAGGCGTTTGTCACCACAGCCCAGCCAGTTACACGCAAAAATAATAAAAATAAATTTAAAATAAAGGGAGCCCAGTGGTGGCACACACTAATCCCAGCACTTGTTGGGGGTGGGGGGGTGGGGGGTGGGAGGTAGAAGCAGGCAGATCTCTGTGAGTTGAAGGCTAGTCTGGTCTGTAAAATGAGTTCCAAGATAGCAAGGGCTGTTACCCAGAGAAACCCTGTCTCATTCAACGATAACAACAACAACAAAAAAAAAGAATGAGTAAAATAAAGAGTAACTTAAAGGAGAAAGGGTTTATTTCAGCTCACAATTTTTTTGTTGTTACTGTTTTTGTTTTTTTGAGACAGGGTTTCCCTGTGTAACAGTCCTGGCTGTCCTGGAACTTGCTTTGTAGACCAGGGTAGCCTTGAACTCACTGAGATCTGCCTACTTCTGCCTCCTGATTGCTAGGATTAAAGGCATGAATCAGATTTCATATTACAATATAATGAAAGGCACCAGTCAGCTTCAGCTCACATTTTAAAGGTTACAGTCCAACATGATAGAGAAATCACAGCAGCAGGAACTTGAGGTTACATCCACCCCCCCAAAAAAAGAAAAGAGTGATGTTGGGTATGATGGCACACACCCTTTAATCCCAACACTTGAGAAAGCAGAGGCAGGAGGACATCTGTGAGCTCAAGCCAACCAGGGCTACACTGTGAGACATGGTCTCATTTAAAGAAAAAAAGGAAACAGTGATAAACTACTATACTCAACTTTCTTTCTCCTTTTTATACAGTCCAATATTCTAGCCCAGGGAATGGTTCCACCCACAGGGGATGGCTCTTCTTCCATCTTAATTAACTTAACCAATATTATTCCCCATAGTTATTCCCAGAGGCTGGTCTTCAAGTCTCCAAGGTATAACTAGAAACAACGTATAACTAGGTAGCCCTGACATCAAACTCTCTTTAGACCAGACAATCTGCCTGTATCATTTCCTGGTACTAAGATTAACACTCAGCACCAGCTAATCAAAGCCCTTTTCTGACATTTTGTAATACATATTTACAAAACAATGTTTCAAGAATGGTGGCCCATACCTACCTTTAATCTGACCCCTGGGAGAAGCCCTGGGAGACAGAGGTAGGCAGATGTCTATGTGTTCAAGGCCAGCCTGGTCTACATGGTGAGTTCCAGAACAGCCAGGACTACATAGAAGCCAAAAAAAAAAAAAAAAAAAAAAGCTGTAGACATTAAGGAGAAAGATCATTGCCAATGCTATATCACAAAAAAAAAAAAAAAAAAAAAAAAAAAAAAAAGACATCTTGAACGGAAACAGAAAACCCTAAGTGGATGGATTCTATGGAATGACACCCAAATTGTGCTCTAGTACCCACACACACCCATCCACACATGGATACCCATCCTCACAAACATGAACACATACACAAATCAAAACATCCACCAACCCTAGACAACACTGAAGATGCTCTTCATCCTGTAGCATCAAATACTCACTGAAGATTTCATTCTTTCTGTTAAAGATAAACAAGCTCACCCATTTAATTAATATACAAGTTTGCTTTCCTCTTTTTTTTTTTGGGGGGGGGGGGTTGAGACAGGGTTTCCCTGTGGCTTTGGAAGCTGTCCTGGAACTTGCTCTTGTAGACCAGGCTGGTCTCGAACTCACAGAAATCTGCCTGCCTCTGCCTTCCGAGTGCTGAGATTAAAGTTGTGCGCCACCATCGCCCGGCTGCTTTCCTCTTTTATTTTTTTTATTTTTTTTTAAGATTTTATTTATTTATTATGTATACAACATTCTGCTTCCATGTATATCTGCACACCAGAAGAGGGCACCAGATCTCATAACGGATGGTTGTGAGCCACCCAGTGGTTGCTGGGAATTGAACTCAAGACCTCTGGAAGAGCAGCCAGTGCTCTTAACCTCTGAGCCATCTCTCCAGCCTCTGCTTTCCTCTTTTAAAAATGGTAAAATTATGTGTAAACCAAAGAGGTTTTTAAAATTAATTTTTGGGTTTTTTTTTTAACCAGTGACTGTTTCATTTGTACATCGGTTTTACATGAATACACACCAAATATCTCACAAAAAAAACCTCAAAGACAAAGAGTAAAATAGACCAGTTGGGGGCTGGAGAGATGACTCAGAGGTTAAGAGCACTGACTGCTCTTCCAGAGGTCCTGAGTTCAATTCCCAGCAACCACATGGTGGCTCACAACCATCTGTTATGAAATCTGGTGCCATCTTCTGGTGTGCAGATATACATGGAAGCAGAATGTTGTATACATAATAAATAAAATCTTTAAAACAAACAAACAAAAAAAGATAGACCAGTTGGTACAGCGTTTGCCTTGCAAACATGAGGACATGAGTTTAGTCCCCAGCACCCAAATGAAAACTCTGGGTGTGTAGCTGGCCATGGTGTCACAGGGTTTTAGTTCTGGCACTAGGGAAGCAGAGGTGGACAGATCTCTATGAATTCAACGCCATCCTGCTTTACATAATGAATTTCAGGCCAGAGCTACACAGTGGCGCCCTGTCTCAAAAATACATAAACAAATAATTGAAAATTTTAATATCTGGTGATTTGTGCTTTTTAGCCCAACAGTGAGAGGCAGACACAAGTGGATGAGCCCTAGGTCCCAATGAGAGACCCTTTCTTAAAAGTGCATGCTTCTGGGGGTGAAACTCTGAGACACAAGCTAGGAAGTAATCTATCACTGAGCTGTACCTCAGTCTGAGTCCCCACTCACGGAATATTAATATGCTTATTGTGCAGTGCATTTGTAGCCCAAGAGTATCCATATACACATTAGACAAATGTAACCTACAACAGTGCTTCGGCAACTGGCATACAAGTGCAAAGCAGATGTGCTCATGCCTATAGGGACTAGAGGGCAAACCCAGGTGTCATTCCTCGGCAGTCATCCACCTTGTTTTGTATTGTTTCCCCTGAGACAAGGTTTCACTGTGTAGCCCTGGTTGTCCCAGAATTCATTCTGTAGACCAGGCTGGCCTAGAATTGAGAGATCTGCCTCTCTCTGTCTCCCAAGTGCTGTGATTAAAAATATGCATCACCCTGCCTGGCGATCATTTATTTTGTTTTATATCTTTGCATCTGCCTGCATGTATGCATGTACTCCATGAATGTGAAGGTACCCACGGAGACCAGCAAAGGGCATCAGACCAGCTGTTACAGGTAGGTTGTGAACTGCCTAATGTCGGTGCTGGGAGCTAAACTCTGGTCCTCTGTAAAGAGCAGCATGTATTCTTTTTTTTTTTTTTTCTTTTTCGTTTTACTTTTGTTGTTGTTGCTTTTGTTTGTTTGTTTGAGATAGGATCTTTCTGTGTAGCTCTGACTGTCCTGGAACTTGCTCTGTAGACCAGGCTGGCTTTGAACCTTACTAAGATCTGCCTGCCTCTAAACTTGTGAGTAATCACTCCACATCCTCCTTTGTGTTTGTTTGGTCTGCATCTGGTTTATAGGGTCTTGCTATGTTTGTTGCCTTGGCTGCCCTCAGCCTTGCAGTCCCTAACCAAGCCTCAGCTTTCTGAGTGATGGGCTGAGTGTTGCACCACATCTGGCTCCTTCATTTGCTCCATAAATTATATTAGGTGCTGGAGAATGGCTGGCCCTTATGGTAGTGGTCTCATATAACCCTGGCTGGCCTCAAACTTGCTATATGACCAAGGCTAACCTTAAATTTTATTTTCTTTTGAGA